AGCCGAGATGTGAGACAGCGGGAGAGGGAGAGCTTCTCCCAGCTGGGGAATCTCAAGGTGGAGACAAAGGGAGTGGAGGGAAGTCGCCACAGAGGGGCTCAATTAGCTTCGTTTTCTAGAAAAGGGAGGCGTTCATGACTTCTAAGTCCTTCTAGACACTAAGGCTGCTAATACTCCAGGAAGTGATTCACCTTCCCTTGGGTATTTGACTGCTAAGAACCAAGGAGGCATCCCAACTGCAGCTCGGGATAGAGCGAGGAGGCAGCAATGCGGCTGCAGAGCCCTGGGAATTCGGGCCAGGATTTAACTTCTCTGAGCCTCGGTTTCTGCACCTATAAAATGGGAGGAAGGATTCCTGTGAAAAGGGTTTTGTGAGAAGTGGGTGAGCTCCCAGCATGGTGCTTGGTACGCAGGAAATGATCATTTAAAGTGCTTGCTACCAAAGAGCAGAAGTCATCCCCCGGGGAAGCAGCTAGGAGGCAAAAACAGCTGTCTGTCTGTCCCCTTCAGGGAAAATCCTTTGAAGGCTTCAGAACATTTCTCTTCAAAATGGAGACCTCTTATATTTGGTTTGGAAAATGTTAATCAAACTTGCACCCTACTTTTCCAGAATTTCTGTTACTCTCGGGAAGCCTCTAGAATTCTAAGCCCACAGCTCCTGGTAACGGTAGTGCAGTCAGTGGGAGGCACGTGAAGGTGACAGCGTGTGTGGGGAAGAGAACTCAAGTCTGCAAAGTTGGCTCAGGGATTCTCATTTCCCCCCTTTGAATTATTTCTCATCTCCCTTTTCAGCTCACGTGAGCTAGGAGGCTGAAAGGGCCCTTGAGGGGAGCTTGTCCATCTCTCTGCCTTAAAGTCAGATGGAAGATATCGAAAACCATGGTGGTAATTGTTTAGGGGGGAGAAAATTAGGCTTAATTTAATTTTGTCAAGGTAGCAGAAATCAACCAGAGCTGACTTGAATGAAATGAAGCTAGTTCTAGTTCAAATCACATGTGGGACGTCACTCCTCTGACCCCTCACTTCACGCTGCCGTCTAGTTATTATCACAAGAATTTAGATAAGTGTACACATTCTGAAGAGACTACACTTATATAGATTGACCTTGACTGCATGCCACCGTGATCACCTGCCTAGATAAACCTCCGCCAGATAGATGGAACTCGGCTCTTATTAAACAAAATTAATGATCAGTACCCAAAACAATTCTGGGTTAGATCAAAGAATAAATGATCTTCCCTCAGTTCAAAGCAATTGCAAAGGAGCTTTCTCTGCTTGTTCACAGGCATGCAACTGCCCACCTATTTATCTTATTCAAGAAGAACAAAAAAAGATATATATATATATATATATAACATTGACTATTTAGACAAAATTTTAAGTCATTAGCTTTCAGGTACCTCTGCTTTTTCTCCAGACGGTGAAGAATGTGGCTGTAATCACTAAAGTCTTAAGAATACAGTGTTTCATTTTAGATTTATTAAATAAAAAGTGTTAGGATGGAGTTTTCTGGGTGACGAAAAGAGAAATCATTTTCTTTCTCTTAAACTTTAAGTCAAACAGTATGGAGGGAGATTCAAAATACACAGTAACGTCCTGGGAAACCAGCTGGTGTGTGTGGGGGGGTGTATTTCAGGTTCTTTAGCACGTGCTGATTTTTCTGGTATAAATACTCCCAGCCATGGCCAACTCGAAGCTACCAACAGTTTAACAACCAGCTCACAAAATTCCTGACAATTTAACAGCTGGCTCTCAGCTCCTGCACGCCCTGGAGCCAGACAGAGGTAACTGGTTTAAGATTTCTCTCACGCCTTACCTCTTATTTGACAAGTAAACTCAGTTGTTAAGCCACTAAAAAGTGTGAATTTCATACCATATGATTACACTGAAACAGGTTTTAAAACAAATGTTTCCTTAAAAATAGGTAGTCACTAAAAATCAGGTTATAAAAGATATTTAATAATGCAGAACCATAGTCATGAAGTAGTTTAAGTAAAAACAGTATGTTTGGTATGGTTCCAAATTTGCATATAAAAATGACTACAAAGATATACCCCAAAAAGTGAATAATAATTCTTTTAGTTGTGAGATTATATGCTTTATTTTCTTCTTTGTGCCATTCTTCTATTTTTCAAAATTTCTACAATGTTCATATGTTGTATTTGTAATTGGAGAAAGAAGTAAATTCAAAAAATGGTAATATATGTATTTTTATTATGGTGTTTCAGATTTCTCCCTTTACATCCCTAGAATGTTATGGCTATACTAGGTAGGAGAGTAAATCAGATCAACTCTATTTTAAAATTTTTTTTTTTTTTAAGATTTTATTTATTTGAGAGAGAGAGAATGAGAGACAGAGAGCATGAGAGAAAGGAGGGTCAGAGGGAGAAGCAGACTCCTTGCTGAGCAGGGAGCCCAATGTGGGACTCGATCCCGGGACTCCAGGATCATGACCTGAGCCGAAGGCAGTCGCTTAACCAACTGAGCCACCCAGGCGCCCCAGATCAACTCTATTTTAAACAAGGCTAAATCACTGTCATTTGATTTTTGTGATGCTTTACTGTTTTCAAAGTACTCTCATAAGCATTATCTAATTTGATAATCTGTGATTCAAGTGAAGGTTATTATATCCTCATTTTACAGATGAGGAAACAGAGGCTTAAAATGATTAAATAATTCGGGCGCCTGGGTGGATAGGCGACTGCCTTCGGCTCAGGTCATGATCCTGGAGTCCCAGGATCGAGTCCCACATCGGGCTCCCTGCTCAGCAGGGAGTCTGCTTCTCCCTCTGATCCTCCCCCCCTCTCATGTGCTCTCTCTCTCAAATAAATAAATAAAATCTTTTAAAAAAATGATTAAATAATTTGCTCAAGGTCACATGGCTAAAGAAGGCAGTTTAACTGGGACCCTGCTCCAGGATTTCTGCTATCTGTGAGACCATTCCTCAAAAACAAGCTGAGGGATGTTTCACTCACAGCTTATCTGTTCAGGAGTTCCCCACTAAATGCCTAGACCCAGTTCTTCAAGGAGACATTCTCCTGATTTTGCCCATTTAAATGTCCAGAGCTTGACCAGAATCACCCAGGTAGGGTGCATTCCATCCAAGCATTGATGCTACACACAGCAATGACCTCAGTGGGCTCTTCAGCTTGGAAATTGACAAACACGATGGGAGCATTTGCTGAGAACAACAGAACCCACACTCTGGGATGAAACTCTGTATCATGTTCTATACATACATAGTTAGAAGAGTCTAGAAAGGCCATGTAACGGGTTCTGGCATCAGTTTCCATAGCTTCTCCCTAAAGAACTGGGGAGTGTCCTTTATGGGGATAGCTGAAGGAATAATTTCTGGGTAGATCTGCCTGAAGGCTCTTTTCTTTGCTGGGTCTTATGCAATTTGGGCTGGAAGGTCCGTTTCTTGCTCCAGCACCCTCGTTCCTGTTCACAGGCAGTGCTTTACCAGAACTTGATAATCAGAAACAAGAGCACATTGTTTTTCAGTTACGAGGAATAGAAATAAGAACCCACTGCCTCAAGTCTTGTAGATTTTAGGATGTGGATATACAGGATGAGTTTTAAAAGTAGCATTCTGATGAGACCTCATGCAAAGCCAGAAAAGCCAGGCTTCCCAGGCCTTGGGGAAACAGGTGGCCCCAGAACAGGCTGGCCCAGAATGCGGGGTTGGGGGGAGGCCCCCTCCTCCTGCAGGTGTCACAGAGCAGCATGCAGGGGGAGGACAAAGCAGTCCCACTTGGAGCCCTCAGGGTGAGCAGTTTGGGAACCTCAGGATCTCCCTCTGTGGCAGGAGCAAGAACATCCCTCAGTGACATCATGGGCAGAGGCCAAAGAGGCAGACTCTACCTTGGGAAACACAACTGTCTCCTGGGATTTCCTTTCAGGTGCTTCAGTGAAGAGCATGTGTGTGAACTTTCCATCTGCACCCAGGAGTGGTCAGTTAACTTCATCTGAAGGACTCTGAAGGACCCTAATGGAAAAGACAACTCCGGGGACGGCTAATGGAAGGCCCACACTAGAGGTAGTCCAAAGCACCTGAGCTAGGCTTATCTCCTGATCCACAACAGAGGCTTAGTCAGCATTGTGGATGTTAGAAATTATTTTTCATTGGTGAAATGAGTAGTTTTCAAGATGCGTGGATTGGCTAGAAGTCCTGCCCCAGTATGAGCAGGGTAAAAGGAATTAGGGAGCCAAACCACCTGTCTTTGGAATAGCCCTGAACATGACTGCTGGCGTACTGCTACCCGCACAACCAGGAAGTTAGGGGAATCCTGCTGTTACCACACTCGTCCATCTGTTCTGAATGAACTTCCATGCAAGGTGCCCCTGAAGCACAGAAGGGGACAGACACTGGGGACTGCATTAAGCTTACCAAGGCAAGATGACTGTCTTGTTGCCAGCAGGGACAAGTATATGCTTTTTCTCCACCATATTCTACCTGGTCACAAGTCTGTGAGAGATGAGACCAAGAGGGCTCACTAATTTCTAATTATTGGGGGCTACTGCCAATCTATCAAAAATAACTCACTAACTGTCAATGAGTCAGTTGGTTTGACTGAGGACCTTTTGTTAGGATACCTTTAAGTATTCTCAGAAATAATTAGGGAACTTCTGAGCAGAAACTGAGTTGAGATACTCATACATACTGAGTTGAGATACTCATACATACTGAGTACTAAGGTTATGTGGCCTCATCTGTACCCAAAAGCAGAAAGGCGCCTGGAGAAATCTGGAGTTACATTTATGCTCCTGAGCAGGCTTTCCACAGCAGGTTAAGTGTGTGGAAGTCATGGCGTCAGGATTTCTGAGTTCAGTTAAATACCACAATTCAGTTTTGTAAAAATCAATCTTAAAATACTTTGTCTTAATCTTTATTCTCCTCCGATTTTAAAAATAGCACATGCTTACTATAGCCTCACATTATAGAAGATTGAAAATTCCCCAGAATCCCACCCTGAGATGACTGCTAGTCTCTTCAAATATTACTCCAGATTTTGTGGGGCACAGAGTAGTAAACAAACAGATCAAGTGGAATTCTACTACCACCAGAATACATGCTATCCCGCTCCTATGCAAGTTTTCAAACAGTTCTGACAAGTAATTCAACGGACCAGTTTCTTCAGAGAGCTTTATGTTTCTGTTTTCAGAGAGATTCAATCACACAGTGGGTGGAAAAACCTCTAAGATTTTCATGCCATTCAATACTAAATATTTCCCAAAGTATTAAAGATGAATAAATATTTTTTAAAGGAAATGAAGAATGAATTCGATACAGAGATAACAGTTCAGAAAATCATGGTGGTTTCTTATCAAAGCAAAAACTACTAAATTCCAATTTCAGCAAGTATCATAAAATGGCTTTGAAATTCAACTTCGGGAAACAACCATTTCTTTACCACTGACTATATCATAGAAGTAATTCTACAATCCTTCTCACTTGATCAATACAAGAGAATACCACATATACATACGGCCACTGAGAATTCCTTCCATTCTAGGTGAAATCAAATGATAACCAGAATTGCTACATATGAAAGAAGTGTCCATCAGCAGGGAGTCCAGAGCGGGGCACGTGGAAGAGATTTCAGCTTTTGCAACTGGTAAAGGACAATTTTGATTCAACCTCCCACAGCTTTGTTTGTAATGCTTTCAAAACATCTTCCATCTATTGAATTGAAAAAATATTTTCAGATACACATAGGATTATGATTAAAATCACACATGATTAAATGATTAAAATATGTATCATTAATAAAATTTATGAGTGTTATGCATTACACGTGAAATTATTTAGAGGCATAAACTAAATTTTATGTAAATAAGGCAGCATTCTTTTTTTTTTTTTTTTTTTAGGTTTTATTTATTTGACGCAGAGAGAGAGAGACAGCTAGAGAGGGAACTCAAGTATGGGGAGTGGGAGAGGGAGAAGCAGGCTCCTTGCCGAGCAAGGAACCCGATGCGGGGCTCGATCCCAGGACCCTGGGATCATGACCTGAGCCGAAGGCAGACGCTTAACGACTGAGCCACCCAGGTGCCCCGATAAGGCAGCATTCTATTATCAGTAGTTCTCAACCCCTAACGTAGAGCTCTTTTATACACTCATGGGTATCTTGCCGATCGGGCCATGAGAAGATGTTAACATTCAAAAACATTTGCAGGGGGCGCCTGGGTGACTCAGCTGGTTAAGCGACTGCCTTTGGCTCAGGTCATGATCCTGGAGTCCCTGGATCGAGTCCCGCATCGGGCTCCCTGCTCGGCAGGGAGCCTGCTTCTGCCTCTGACCCTCCCCCCTCTCATGTGCTCTCTCTCTCTCATTCTCTCTGTCTCAAATAAATAAATAAAATCTTAAAAAAAAAAACATTTGCAGGTTGTTTATACCATAAGAATTGAATCAAATGAAATATAGTTTACTAGTTTTAGAATATATATGGTTTTGATGAGACATGAAAGGTCTTATAATTTTTTTGATAAAGCTTTAGCTTAAGTTGTAGTTTGGCTAACCCCCAAAATCAACTTTACTAACAACTGAGATAAAATAAGCACCCTCTTACCAGGAAAGTACTAAGATCAAAACAGGTGCCGCTCTGAGGGTTATTTGTGGAGGAGCACTTGCTCACTAACAGGAACATAAAAAGATACAAAAAGTACAGAATTACCTGCTTTAGAGACTTTTCTATTTCAACTCTGCTTTCAAGATTAAAAAGTTCTTTATCTTCTGACACAATTTGCTTTTCCGAGGACCCTAAAATATAACTGCAGTATAACACGGTACAAAGTTAAAATATGAAAAGGGGGCAAATATGAAAATCATGTTAGTTAATAACATTAAAACTCTATCTTACACTATATATTTGTACCAAATGAACACAAAATAACTATTTTTGTTAATAGCAACCACATAGGAAGTTGTACCACATAAAATCAAGTTTTTCTCCATAACACCTTGGTCCAGGCATGCCTACATATTGTCCAATATTCTAAGTACTTCATTACTGGCACAACCTTACTCTTTAGTTAACCGAGTGGCAAAACAGTCACACTCATAGTTCAAAATTCTATGATTAAAAAGTTTTAAAAGATCCTGAAGAAGCCCCTGCTTTTTTGCTTTCTATAACTTGTTGGGAACATGTGTACTTTCAAATTTGACTTTTAGTAAATAATGTATGGGGTCAATTCTCGGTTACTTTGACTTGGCAACGCCAACAGTTATCCTCCAAGTTATGTTTTGCTCTGCTCTCTGGAGTTAGGAGATGCTGTGGTGTAGAAAATATGAGATAAGATAAATATTGGCTGGAAACAAGGAAAACAGGCCCAGTGTTGGTAACCTAGTAAATCTAAATGGGAAAAAAGAAGAGGCTAGTATTTCTCCGAAAAGAAAACTTGATTAATTTGCATTTCTTCCAAAGTCTTTCATCACATGTAGCAACTTCAGCAGGTCACTTCTTTTGTCAAATAAGGTCAAGCTTCCCTTGGAAGCCTTAGTGATTTTATTTCTAAAAAATGGCATGGAAGGCGAAATGGCAGAAGGCAATTAACATCCTGTTTAGGAAAGAAAAATGAGATGAGGTGGGAAATGAAGTGGCACTGAGTAATTTACAAAACTGTAAATGGGGGCGCCTGGCTGGCTCAGTCCTTAGAGCATGTGACTCTTGATCTTGGGGTCATGTGTTTGAGCCGACATTGGGTATAGAGATTACTTAAAAATAAAATCTTTCAAAAAACCCCAAAACTGTAAATAAATACTTCTAAAACCAACAAGTTTCCTTGGCATTAAAATTCTTTTCTTCTTTCTTTTTCTTAAAGATTTTATTTATTTATTTGTCAGAGAGAGAGAGAGAAAGAGCATAAGCAGGAGGAGTGGCAGGCAGAGGGAGAAGCAGGCTCCCTGCTAAGCAGGGAGCCTGATGCGGGACTTGATCCCAGGACCCTGGGATCATGACCTGAGCCGAAGGCAGCTGCTTAACCAACTGAGCCACCCAGGCGTCCCAAAATTCTTTTCTTCTTAAATTGTTCTTCTTTCCTGATATATAAGGATTTTAGGCGTCTTTAAAGTCTTGAGGGTTACATCTTTTGCAGGATAAGTGAAAATACATTGGGGTCAGATGAGTTACTTAATTTTGTATTTCCTATTTAAAAAGGCTCATGAATTAGAAGGCCATTAAGATATCTGAAACTCCTGGGGGCCTGGATGGCTCAGTCGGTTAAACGTCTGCCTTTGGCTCAGGTCATGATCCCAGGGTCCTGGGACCGAGTCCCACATCGGGCGCTCTGCTCAGTGGGGAGCCTGCTTCTCCCTCTTCCTCTATGCCTCCCCCTGTTCGTGTGTTCTCTCTCTTCAAAATATATAAAATCTTTAGGGCGCCTGGGTGGCTCAGTTGGTTAAGCGACTGCCTTCGGCTCAGGTCATGATCCTGGAGTCCCGGGATCGAGTCCCGCATCGGGCTCCCTGCTCGGCAGGGAGTCTGCTTCTCCCTCTGACCCTCCTCCCTCTCATGCTCTCTGTCTCTCATTCTCTCTGTCTCAAATAAATAAATAAAATCTTAAAAAAAATAAATAAATAAAATATATAAAATCTTTAATAATAAATAAATAAATAAATAAATAAATAAATAAAAGCTACCTGAAACTCTTTAACTGACATCTGTCATCAGCCTCCTATTTGCCTTGTTTCCAAACGTTTACTTTCTATAGAAATCTTGGAGACTGAAGGCACCTCCTTGCATCCCTCAGAAAAAACAGGTGATTCTTTACCAGACGCAAGAAACTAATTGGACTTTGTATTTCTGCTTTTCTAGAACACCAAAGGGACTTCTTTCCTAATCAGTTTTGAAATTCCTAATTCTTCATGATATTCTAGGCGGCTAAAAACCGGGGCGGGGGGGGCAGGTAATAAAATGGACAACACATATTGATCCACACAACTGCTTAAAAAATCCTATTAAACTAAATTCAATTTTTAGGGAAAATTGAACCTATTTTTACTCTGAAAAATGTTCTCACAGTGGTTTCTCCTTACAATTTAGAATGTCTGATTTTCCAATACCAAATACATCAGGTCAAAACAAATAAAAAAAATCACACTGGCTTTATTGTCAGAAATTATTACTTGAAAATGTATTTTAACCAAATAGTGTTGATTTAGTTCTGATGTTTTCATTATCAATTTTTCTGCAAACAACTCTCCGAGAAATAATTTATGAGGTATCCATTTATTTAGCACACTTACCTTTCAATGGCTTCAACACTGAGGCAAAACAAGTCTCTCTTGTAATCTAGGTTCTTGGGTGTGCACCTGTATATGTAGCCAAGCCTGAGTGAGCATCCTGTGCAGGACAAAGCCTCCAGAATGCTGCAAGGAAGAAGGGCCATTGCTTTAGCAAACAAAGTAGCAACTTGTTCCAACCCATAAACGCTTAACGTTTACGTTGCTAAAATATGTTATTCCAACCCTACTAAGTCATATGTATAAAGAAGGAAAAAATGATAGTAAAATGTTGATATTAGAAATGTAGACAGTCACCTCCAGGCTACAGTGCCTTCAGCACCTAGTGACATGGGACATACAGAAAAGTGACAAGAGAAGATACTGATGTGGTGTTTTTCTAGAATGTAAATGCCTCAATCTGGTATTAAGAAAAATTATCTAAAATTTGAAAATAAGATGGGGATTCCACACGCCCTTTTAATGTCATATTGTCCAACAAGCCCACCAAGAATCATTAACACTCTGGGGCAGGGAGGCAGATTTTTTCTGTAATGACCCAGGGAACAAATCTTTTAGGTTTGTAGGCCATGCGGTGTCTGCTGCAATGACTTGCCTCCACTATTATAGCACAGAAGCAGCCACAGACAATACGTAACTGAATACGCAACGTGTCTGTGTTCCAATAAAAATATATTTACAAAAATAAGTGCCTGGCCCGTGGGCCATACTTTGTTCTACTGGAAGGTAACATTGGTTGCTCACTACTTACTATTGATTAGGGCCCAGACTCTCTGAAGTTAGATGATAACTTAAAGAAGATTAATAAGACTGATAATTTGTAAAATTATAAATAATTTTAGTCTGGTAGAGATGCAAATGTTCTCTGCTAGTAGAAAAGGTAACCTCAAAGGCTGAGGCTCTACTGTCCTATAGGACAGTAACTAGATTTGTTCTACAGAGCATCCTTCTCTAAACCAGCTTTGCCATGTTCTGACTCCCTCAGTAATGAGTTAAATAAATCTCTGACGTGTGCTCATCACGTGTCTGTTAGGGTTGCCTTTCTCTTTTTAATTATACTTTGACCTAACACTCTTCTATTCACTACGGATATGTTCCACACAGGCAACTCACAAATATTTTACTTAATGATCCAAGTTCTCCACATAACTGTTCCTTCATTCTAGTTATTTCTCAACTCAGGCTCTGCATATTTGAATATAATCTCCCCCACCAAAGTCAATTCACGTCTTCTTTAAATCTTAGAATCCAGTCACCCAAATGCCTTGTCAAGTTGACCTATCCAAATTTGCCATTCTATATATATCTATAATAAATTACAGTCCCAACACATAGCAAACTGATAACTGAAGATCTAAATCTAGTGATCATAATATAACATACATTACAAAAGATAGCTATTATTTCAAAAGAATAATATAATTCCTATTGGTATTGAGCCACTTGTGATAACTACAGAGCTATTCTTGTTATCAAAAATATGGAGCCAACCAAAACTCAAACAACATATTATAGACTGCATTATTGTTTACCTAAAGATACTGAGAGACTTTTTTAACTACTGCAGCTACATATGGAACAAAGAACAAAATGCCCAATAAGTTATAAGTTCTTACTGGTGATATAATTAGCTAGATAATATGCCACTGATCATATATTAAGCTTCCATGTTTTTATATTGAAAAACATATTTTATATATTTTTTAGTATTTTAAATTTATATATATATATTTTTTTTATATTTCTTAGCAAAGCCCAGGAGGGAACCCTATCCATACTACCAAGAGTGAACAGGAAAATGTCCATACTACATCTCGAACCTCATAATCTTTATGAGGCGGCCCTACACAATTACCAAGATTGTGAACCAACATATAATGCCGGTGTAATCAACCAAAAAGGATACAACACTGGTCAAGAGATAACACTGTTTTATCCCAAATTACCCAAATCAAAGTAAACACCACTGACGAATACACGCAAACCCATTCACGCTTCCAGAGTGGTCTTGAGGAACAATGAAGAGAGTAGCAACTTATTGCAATGTCTTTCTGTTTTCACCGCTGGCAAGGATTTGGCCAGAACTCACCCTTAACGCTGAACAACAATATTGAGAAAGCAGTGCTGGAAATCCTAGGGTGATTTTTCGACCAGAAATGAGTTAGTGTGCAAGAACCTTAACGAATGACACAAAGAACCCAGGAAACAGCGCTGCTACCTTCACAACACATTTCCAAAACCCACGAATGCTGCTGGCCGGCTGCCGGACGGCTCAGGTGGCTATTCAGTCAGGCCTACCAAAAACTTACGAGCATCCCAAGGCAATACGGTATTTCCCCAAGTGTGGAATATGGGACCCTAGTGAATGTCTTGAATTTGAATTTACGTGGCAAAAATGATGGATTCAGGTGACACCAGTAAACAGGACTAAATAACACTGGCTCCCAGAGTTAGGAGTCAATTCCCCTTTTCAGTTCCCTATCAATCCTGATTATAAAAAGAAGAAAGTCTCAGTCAAGTGCTAGGAAGTCTTTAACTAGAATCTCACAGCTGCAAATCTTTTAACAGTGAGAAAACAGACCTTAGGCTCAGAACCAGCCAGCTGAGAGCATCTCTGCTAGAGTTTAATAACATTCGTTTTCATTGTGGTTAATTTCTAGTTCAAGCAAATACTATGGCAGTAATATATTAGATTCCTTTTTAAATAAATTTACATAAAAATCCTGAGTCAATGTAATGAAAGGTATTAAGTAGATGATAGCAAAGCTGGTATGTGGATATGGCAAAACTGGTGAAAGTGGCATCGAAATGACTAAAACTGGAAAGAGACAAGAAAGAACACTTTGCAAGAAGGAAGGAGAAACACAGGCACCATCCCCGCTCTAACTACTAAACAGTCCTGTGGTTTTAGCAAACTTCTAACCTCCCCAGGCCTTACTTTCTTCATCTACAGAAGGAGAAATGATCTAAGGCTGGTTTTCCAAACGGAGGTCGCCTGCGTGCCAGCAGCACCGTTTCCATCACATCCACATACTACCTGTACTGCTGTTAATTCTCCTTAAAAAGAGTGATTTTTTAAATTGAAATACACTTTATTTGAAAAGGAAACTCCAGCATTACTTTAAAATGAAAAACCAGTATTTTTAAAACACACGTTAAAAAAACATACATGATTATTAATTTCTGTTTAGTCGTCTGTATACCACCTAAAGTTACTTCACAGATCAGTTAAGACACATTCTGGGCAAGAATTATATAAGGCAGAGCCTCCCATTCTGTTTACTGATGCCGCTCGTAGCAATGGGTGGCAGGTGCGCCAAGATGGAGATCCCTTCAACCGCTGGAGCGGCAGCACGGGGCCTGGGACTGCCGGGGCCCCCATGCTGGCTGCTTCTGGCCTCATGCAGCCTTGTCTGTTTACTTCAACAGGCCACATGTCCATGCGTGTGAGTGTGATACCAGCATTTTCTATGCGTAACATGACATTAAAAAAAGTAGGTAGCGTTGGCCTAAGGCACACTTTGGCTAAGATTTTATGATACAGGTATTTTCTTTCTTTTTCTGCTTTTATTTTCAATTTGCTTTAGCACTAAGCCCAAAGACCCAAAAGAGAGTGTCAGAATGTGACTCTAGAAATTTAGAAACTCTTTCATCACAGTATCTAAAAACGACCACCATCACTCAAGAATTGATACATTAAAATGACTGATTCTATACTGATCACCACGAAGAAAGTTTTATCCCAATTAATCTTACTGGTAATGATCTTATTAAAGATTTTTAGTTGAAAAATAAACATTTTCTCTAACACACATATTCACACAGATAATAGCCTTACTCACCAACCATTTTCATTTTTACGTTTGGATAGTATCTGTTCCTTATCCACAGAAACATTACAGGAAACACCTAGAGCAAAGTAACAATAATGTATTAATGTGGTTTGCTATAATACACCTGCAGATATTTAGAGTTCAATTTTTACTTTAGAACTGAGAGAACCAGAAAAAGTAAGAGCCCAGAGTCACATATACACAAAGGTGGTTCAAAACTAAATGTACAGAGGTCTTCTGGAAAAAAGATGGCAGAATGAGAGTTATTTCTTTCTCTTTCCTGAAAACCACTGATATTAATAAAATGAGTAAAATTAGAGGGGAAAATTCAACTGCCAGTAAAACTTGGAACAATTAGAACCTCAATCACAGACTACCAAGAATACCTGTAAGGTATAATAAAATTGGGATAAACCCAAGAAAGATGCTAAAAGCCAATGTATACATCCCCAGGTTTCAAATGCAGAGCTCTCAGGGACCTGGACAAAAATCTTCTATTTAGACCATGACTTGGATGGGGTCACAGTTGACCCCAGAAGCAGGAAACATTCCCAGAGGATCCAGGTCCAGGATACAGTAAATGAAGGGATAGGAGATGGAGGGAAATGAAGAAGGGACATCACACCTAAAATGTCCATACTAGCCTCAGGGCCTTTGCACTAGCTGCTCCCTGCCAGGAAAAAGCAAAGAGCATGATCCCAGAATTGTATGTGTAGTCAAGTTGCCATTCATGTAAAAGAGAACAGAAAGACATTTTCAACCACTCAAAATTGAAGTTTTCTTGGGGATTGGGGAGGGAGGGTGCAGAGGGTCTACTGATGATAATGAAATAAACAACTCAGAAATGAGAACGCTATTAATAAGCTTTCTTGTATTAATAAGAGTCCTAGAGTTGAAAAACAAATTCATATAAATGTTACATTAAGGTTCAATGACCATGCTATGGCTACAGAACAGAACTTAAATGTTATAAACCTTGACAAAGTAAAAATAATCAAACTAACTCAAACTGAGGCAGGAGGGAATAGAAATTAACCCAAGAGGGCGCCTGGGTGGCTCAGTTGGTTAAGCGACTGCCTTCGGCTCAGGTCATGGTCCTGGAGTCCTGGGATCGAGTCCCATATCGGGCTCCCGGCTCAGCAGGGAGCCTGCTTCTCCCTCTGACCCTCTCCCCTCTCGTGCTGTTTCTCTCTCTCTCTCTCTCAAATAAATAAATAAATAAAATCTTTAAAAAAAAAAAAAAGAAATTAACCCAAGAGTTCACTTCATTATCTTTCATGGCAGCAGTGCTGAATGGGGGGAGTAAATCAAATTGTCTAAAGCTGGTAGTTTTTAAAACTTAAAAACTGATACAGAAAAAGTAAATAACAGAAGTGTTTTTATATATAAAACAAAAGAAAAAAGAAAAAGCATGCGGCAAAAGATAGAAAACAGGCTGTAAAAACAGAAAGTACAAGCAAAATGAAAGATTTAACACCAAACATACTACTTCTTGCCTACTAAAAAAAAGAGATTCTCCTACAGTATCAAAAATCTCAACCCACGTACATGCTGTTCTAATGGCAGCAACTCTGGAAACATTCTAGACCTCTATCAACAGACACAGATCAGGGGGCACCTGGGTGGCTCAGTCGTTAAGCATCTGCCTTCCGCTCAGGTCATGATCCCAAGGTCCTGGGATGGAGCCCCACCTCGGGCTCCTGCTAGGCGGGAGGCCTGCTTCTCCCTCTCCCCCTGCTTGTGTTCCTGCTCTAGCTGTCTCTCTGTCAAATGGGTGAATAAAATCTTTAAAAATAAATAAAATTGCTTATAATCATTAAAAAAAAAAACAAACAGACACAGATTGGAAAGATTAACAGTATCTCCCTGGTGAATTTCTGCCAAAATATTTATAGAATTGAGAGCATAAACTTGATCTTGAAAGCCACAAGTCCAAAAAGAATAGCCATTTTTACACCCATTCAGAAAAACATATGTGAACCACTCCCCTAAATAAATACTATGAAATCAACAATATGAGAGAATAACAGAGAAACATACAGGTAACTGGCAGAGCCAGTATTAGAAGCTAGAACTCAAGCCACCTTCTTGACTTTTTTTTTACTATTAACTCTTCCTCTCCAATTTTGAAGAGATTGTTGTTTTTATTAAAAGTTTCCTTTAAAAAAAATTGATAGAAATGTGTTCTGACAACTCTATGGTTGTTAACACTTCAGAATAAAGGTATCCACTAACACAACTAATAAGATAAGAAAAATCAATTCCGACATACCCCTGCAGGAATCAGGTAACTGAAAAGCTTAATTTCCTAAATAAACCATTAACAATATTATTTACGAATTAAGTTAATTTCTGTGGGGAGTAATACAAAGTGGCAACACCCCAAATGCTTACAGTGTAGTAGGTCGTTTTTTACTGAGCAATGCTCACAAAGATGCCGTTTGAAGCGCTGCTCTTCTGGGCTGGGGGAACCCCAGAAAAGGACCCATCATCACTCGTGAGCCCAAGGTGCAGGGGTGACCCTCCTCCTCCCCTTTTCCTGGGACAGCTCACCTTCTCAGATTTTTCCGCTTTTAAAAACCCTGGACAGCCCCAAAACACCCCCGCCCCTTCTCCTCCCGGGCCGTCCAGGTGAAGCACACCTGGAAAGAAGGCGGCCCCAAGCTCTTCCCCACCCCCTCACCCCCGCCCCTACATCCCACCCAGGCGCGGCAACTGACAGCGCAGCAAGATGCAGTTGGTGTCCTCCTGGCTCGTCACCCAGCTCAGCGAGTCGCCCAGCGGCCGCCTGCAGCCGGAGCACAGAAACACCAGCGGCCTGTCCTCCTCCTCGGCGGGTTCTGCAGCCTCCTCGCGTCGCGTCCCCTCTACACAGGCCACCGACGCGTCCCCGCTCACGGAGTTCCACATGTTTGCCCACTTCCGCAGCAGTTGGTGACGGCCCGAATCTTCCGAGAGCCGCCTGCCCAACAGAGAGGAGTCGCCCCACTTGCCCTTGTCACCGCCACACGCACAGCTAGTAGAAGAGCATCCTTTGCAACAACTAGATGACCAAGCGCCCGCCATTCCTGCAAATCTCCCGCGCCGCGGAGCGCCACGGGAAATGCGCGACTGCGCCTGCGCGGGGCGGGGCGAGGAGGCGGAGGACGGAAGGGGGCCGTGGCCTGAGGGGCGGAGCCTGCAGGAGAACAAACAGCGGGCAACCTGCTAGTGCGCATGCTCCTTGTCGAGCTGAGCCGCAATAGTTTATCTCTGCGTCTGAGTCAAGATTTTCCATTTTTAGGAAATGTCTGGCGGCCAGTCTACTTGGGGAGCGGTGTTGGGCCCCCTTTACTAGTTACTAAAGTGAATACGCCGCCCCACACCCCGCCCAGAGAAGAGGAGTTGGGGAACACACCTTTCTACAGCCTCATTCCCCCACCCCCCGTGCTGCAGCCCCTCAAATTTTAGCGTGCCTAAGAGTCACCTGGAAGCTGGTTAAAACAGATTTCGCGGCCCTGTCTTCACAAATCCAGTTCAGTGGGTCGGTGTGCCACGAAGTGGTAACCATGGAGCAAACTGTGGAAAGGCTATTTGCTTTCCCTGAGTCTGATTCTTGATGGATTAAATGGGTCAGTACTGCACCGGGGTTGTTAACGAGGATCAAGTGAGATGATAGGCTTGAAAATGCTTTAACTCTAATGTGCCGTGTCCACGTCACAGCCTCCAATTGGAGGAAAATTGCCTTCCCTCCTTTTTTGTGTGCAAGCGAGCCTGAGCTCCCTGGACTACTGTAATATCTCCCGTACAACACTGATAAAACCCACATCTGTTCTTTAAGTAAATGGGTAGTAACCTCGGAATTCAAAGGGATGATCTCCTTGCCTCAGACTTTGGATTCTTATTGTCAACACTTAAATTCTGTGGTGGGATATCACAGTAAAGAAGGAAAGCGAAGAGGGGCTGCCTGATCAGTTTCTCACCCATGCACTTTTGCCTTAGTAGGCCCATTTCCCTATTAATAATAATTATAATTATAAGACAAATTATATTTTACAACTGTATTACTATAAAGATGAATATATAAATATTGTATGTTCAAACATTTTCTTTGGCCTTAAAGTTCCTTTTTTTCTTCTGATTTTAAAAGAAATTGGGGCGCCTGAGTGGCTCAGTCGGTTAAGCATCTGCCCTTGGCTCAGGTCATGGTCCCAGGGTTCTGGGATTGAATCCGCATCGGCCTCCCTGCTCAGCAGGGAGTCTGCTTTTCCCTCTCCGTCTGCCTGCCGCTCCCCCTGTTTGTGCTCTCTCTCTCGCTCACTCTCTTTCTCTTTCAAATAAATAAATAAATAAAATCTTTAAAAAAAATAAAAAATAAAATAAAAATAAAAGAAATTTAAACATTTTCATGGGCTGTAAAAATACCATGGGTCCTAGGCACTGTGCCTAATGGAGAAGTTTGCCCCAGTGCAAAATGAACCCCACAACTATGTTTGTATTATGAATGTAAAATATTTAGAACCCCACAAAACCATATTTTATGTGGGGACAAAATTAGATGCTTGAGTAACATGACCTTGGACTGGGTGGTGGCAGGTGCTTCCTGAACAACCATTCCAACCCTTCCTCTTAGTTACACAGCTGGGAGATCTGCATAAAGTTGAGTCCAACCCTCATGTCCGTTAGCATCATCCCTAATTACCAGAATGGATCCCCAGAGGTTTAACCCAATCAGGGTAACCCATCTCTCTTCCATAATCACTGTGCAGATGGCTCCTACCCAAGACTTGAGCCAATCAGCACATGGTGCTCCGCTGGTGATAAGGATTGGCTCAAGTTAACAGCTTGACCTAAGTTATCAAGTTTGTCCAGTCAGAGTAAATCTCAAGACTCTTGTTCAGTGGTTGAGGGAAGAGATGTCCTCTTTGTTCCCAGGGTATGAACAAAGAAGCACATACCCAGATTGCTTCAGGCAGCCATCTTGAAAACATGGAGAAGGGCAGAACTGAGAAATCACAGAGAAACTGAGCACGCAACCTCTGGACTCTTTCAGTTATGTGAGCCAACAAATCCTCTTTATAGTGGAAGATGGTTTGAACTGTTTTGTTTTATCTAGCAACTAAAAGTGTATGTAACGGTCTGATACAGTATGTTAAAATTGAGATTTTGACCGAGATTCCAAGATGAGGTAAAAATGCATACCACAACATGTGTGAGACAGATTGCCTCCCTCCCCTGGAGGGATCCTCAGAGTGGATGTTGGAGAATTAATTCCCTCCTGCCCTAAACTGCCTCCCACATTTTGGCAATATTAAGGACTGGAGAAAATGGCGACCAAGATGACTTCATAAGAAGGATTTCTTTGGAGACGGGCTGGGCTGTGAGTTCAACTTCTCTCCAGTAGAGAAGGTGGAGGGTATCTGCCCCCTTGCTTCAATTCAGCTGAGAGGAGACTCTGAGGAACCATTTGCAGGGCCTGTGGGTTCCCAGGTGTTTGGGGATACAGTGACCAGCAAGAGAGTCGGGCTGTTGAGCTGTTTTGGTGGCACAACAAAGATAAGCCAGATAGGTTGTCAACCAGATGTGAGTTTGCTGGTTCAAACTTCCCACCTGGAATCTTAAATTCTGCCCGAGATAACCTGGAAAGATGAAGATTCTCCAGAAGTGAGCATCCAAATGTGAAACCTTCCTGGGTTTCGGTGAGCAGCTGGGGGTGAGAGTGCAGAGAGATTCTGAGGGGCCAGGAGAGAGTTGGTTCTAACCGTGCCAGGCCAGAGGTACAAAACCAGGTTATGATAGAACCAATTCAAGTGAAAACCATTTTGTCCCTTTTGTCCCCCATTTCAGACTAGGAATGGAAATAGCAGGGAACAGGTAAGATGAAAAAGAAAGCAGGGCCAGCCACACACCCTTCCCCCACTAGAGGAATATACCTACATGTCCCACCTGGAAGAGGAGGGTAATAATTCTTGTCCTGGAGAGAAGACTGCAGTGTTGATTAATATCTTGGACTGGATACTATCATTCTGTCACTGAGATTCTGTCTGCAACTGAAGTAGCTGCATAATTGTTTATTCCCTAAGAGAGTACACTCAAATTGCAATAATACAGGAGGGTTTCTTTACAAAGTGTCAAATGAGAAAGGTATAAACAGCATGTAGGAGAGATCCTCAAGGGATCAGGGAACCCATGTTAACAGCCTTGACCCACAGAGATGTGAGGAAGGCATTCTCCCAAAGGAAAGAGAGCTATGAAGAGCATACCATCTTGGGAGGATCACCCTTCCATCAAGGGATGCAGCCAGCTGAGTCGACCTCCCAAGGAGACAGGCAGGAGATCAAATTCCTTGACCTTGTTCTCATCTCTTCCTCCAGTTTCCTGCTGGGGCTCCCCATTGCCCAAGTTCAACCAGCATTCATAGGGCACATAGCATATTGATGTGGTCCATACAAGTCTGGTTGGTGAGTGGATCTGGAGAGGCAAATGGAGGGAACCCCACACACAGACTGCTCTTGTCCTCATCCAGGGGCAAAGGAAAGGCTGTCCTTACCAAATAAGTTCTAAGATCATAGTAGGAAGCAACATTCAAAATAAGATTCCATTTTGATTCCATCCTTCTATCCTTGCTCAACATACTGGTTACTCAGACTACCTGATTCAACCCTCGTTCCTGGCTGGGTTCAAAAGCCTTGACGTCCTTAACAAACAAATGCTAGTCTAATAAATATCAATGGCTAGCAGCAATAGAAAGAGAGAGAGACAAAGCAAGAAAATATAACTAGGCGAGAGAAGTAACCAAAAAAGGAGGAGAAGAAACAAATAAGACTTCGACAGTTTTGTGGGAAGAATTTATGCCTTTTGCAAAGTGCATTGGCAATTGAGGAAAATCAGAAATTAATGGCTGCTGATTACAGTCATGAACTAGATTTTAATTGCTACACTTCCTTACCCTTACACAAGAATGACAATGAGGAGTGATTGCAGGTCCCTGGAGTCAGTCAGCTGGCCCTGTTAGTACGTAGAGAGCTGGCTGCAGCTGCATTTGAGGACCACTTGGTCCAACTCTTACTGGTGGAGAATACTGGGAGCCAAATGGCATCCACAGCTGCCTTCCCTGACCAGCTGGTACCAACAGAATGCCATGCTGGGCACTCAGCCCCCAGGGACCTTCTGGCACAATCAGAGCCCTCCTCAGGGGGATAAAATGTGCTGTGAGAAAAGTTTGGTTAGATATTTCTATCTGTGCTTCAGGGGTAAAACGACAGGAATATGCCTCACCTTCTTAAAAATCCTCCGAGGCAGGATATTCTTTAAATAGTTCTGTTTCCCTCTCCTATTTAATGTGTGGAATCACGCTTTTCTGGTCTTTAACAGAGATATTTAATTCTCATGCAAGTTAAAAAAGAATAAGGAGAAAAACGTGATTTTCAGTAAATTCATGATATATTTGGGCTGGGAGAGAATCATAGAGATGCTTCTTCTACATGTCTCACTCCACAAATAGAAAGGCTGAGGCCCAGCCTGGTTCAGGAGTCACGGATCTAATTAGTGGCAGAGATAGTGGACATCTGGGCTGTTACATGTCCAGCACTCTTCCCCTCTTCTTGGGAAAACTGCTCCACTTCCTCCCTCATTCCAACAGTGTGGCTGTGGGTGGGGCTTCCCATCCTGAAGGTCTTACCCAATGCGTACCTCATCCCAGACCACCACCTTCCCGGCCACAGAGATTGGTTCTAGGGGACCAGGTGTCAGAACTAGAGCCAGTCTGAATCCATCCCTGGAACTTTTCATGCCAAAGTTTGGAGGGAGAGTCCCCTGCTCACTCAATTCTTCTTGAGTCATGACCCAGCACTGTCATCATAACATCCCCACTCTCACTGGTCTCCCTCCAGTTCTGTGGGTACCCCTCACAGCATGTTCGCATTAAGAAACCTGCTGATGTTTAAGCTAGTTAGAATCGGGTTTCTGTCACTTACTACCAACAGGCCTGACTAATACACAGATCTCAGTCTAGAACGTAGGTCCCTGGACCCCAAGAACAGTAGTCACACCACTACACCAAATTGTTGAAATATAATACCATGTATTTAATAGTGC